ATTTGGTAAATTCTTTTTGGTGCGATCTGATTTGATGATGAGTACATGATGTTGTTTTTCTACTCCGTAAATGAACATTCATAACTCATAAATGACGATAATGTAGATAAAATTCGAAGATGATCCTGAAATCAGTATTGTAACTTTGTAAGCCATTAGTAGAGTACGAGTAATATAGTATTAGTAAAGTTAGTACTATTGTAGTGAGTGACTTTATTGCGCCAAATAAAATTATGTGAAAGTTGGCAATACCAAAAAATATTGTGGGACTTTTGAGGTGGAATGGAGGGAGAGAGAGAGAGGGACCGCTAGAGGCCAAGATGTATGGGGGAGTGGCCTACGGTAGTGGGGGGAATTACTACTTTATTTGTGCGAATAATTTGGGGAGTGGGGGAGTGAATGGGTCCGGGTTCGGGTTCGGGTCTGGGTCCGAGTCCGAGTCCATCCGAAAGACTTTAAGGTTACTAGTAAACGTAAGATGGAGAAGTGAGTGGGTCGCATTGAAGTGGCCGGTGAGTTATACAGTTGCCCATGCAATAGTGGGGTTGCTCGTGAAGTTGCCTACCTGATACGTAATGGCATCATTTGGGCATGTACTGAATTGGTGTGCAAATGTTTTAAGCGATTCAGACCTTGAATTGCCGGCAAAGTTAAGACTAGTTGTAGCGTGTAAATGAGATTAACAATATACTAATTTGTACTTTTTTTTAAACTTGGTATAATGTTGAGTTAATAAGCTGGTAGTATTTGGGTAATAAAAAACTAAGTTCATTTAAGGCATGCTTATTGAGATTCATCAAGCCATGTTGAAGTAAGAGAAAGTTAGTTGCATCTTGCATGAGGAAAAGTAGAACGGAAAAAGTAGGTTTTGTTTGGGTGGCAGATTAAACTCAGGATTTGTGTGAGTAAAATGAGGCGAAAAGGGTGATTGGTTTGTAGGGAGGGATTAGTACACAATAAGGTTGGCGATGCTTGATAAAAATTAAAAGAATAATCAAATATTAATCAAATGTAACATAGTTATATTGAGTTTTATTCTATTCATATTAATGAGTAGTTAATTAATATTTAATAGTTTTAGTTGTTTTTTATAAATTAGGGTGGTTAACGCGCGGGATGCGTGCGCCATAGCTAGCCATGTTCAAATGTATGGGTTTTTCAGTTGTTGGTTATATTAATGAGTGAAAAAATATGTATGTAAACAAATATTTTAGAGATATAAATGTCCACAAACTATTCTAAATAATTCAAAAAAAAAAAAAAAAAAAAAAAGACACTCAACATTAACGAACGTAAAAAAAAAAAAAAAAATAACATTAATGAAGGCAAAATAAAAACTTGTACTCATCACATTAATGAGGATAATCATATAAATGCACATTTTAAAGGGTATAATTGGTAGCACAATATTCATAAGATTAATCTTGTACATTTTATAAGGTAGGAACATACTATACAATTAAAAATATTTATGACAAAGAATCTGAGGAAGTATTTCCTAATGGCTCCATATAACTTTGACTACAACTTTTTGTTACAATGTACCTAAAAATGTTTACTCCGTATATGGATGATGCTGGATTAATCTTATTGTATGTGTTTCTTCAAAGTATTAGAATTTTAAAGTTTTTACTGCAATTAAAATCTTATAATGATCAAATTTTGCATTTACAAATATGTTGATTAAACTTCTGCAATTTTAAAGAGACATAGGAGGTACTATAATTGTAGGGTTGTACACTTAACAATAGTTGTTTGGTGGAAAAGAAATTTGTGGAACAAACACAAATTCATCTTCAATAATAATCTAAAGTACGCGGTGTAAAATAAACGAATTATAGATTGGAATAGAATATGGAGTAGAGTATTTGAGGATCGGATTTGCATTAAAAACAATATTGCATAAAATTTGGTTGTTACAGTAAGAGCTTATAGTGGAATCACATTCGAACATCGCTTTTGAGTTGGTGAAAAGCTCACAATAATTATATGTTTGTGGTTTTGGCAGATAAACTAAGAATTCAACACATTCTTTAAAAAACGTATGTTTTCAATACTATAGCTCAAAACAAAACTCTCTAGATAAATAAAGTAGCCAAAAAGAAGGACAAAAGGATTATTGTGGAGTGTTTCACTGTTTGGTACATAGGTCGTTTAAACCTATTTAATTAATTCCTTATAAGTTATAACGGTATAAGACCGATTTAAATAATTAAATAATTATTTATTAATCATACCAGTGTGGAGTATCAGATAGCTTATTTTAAAATGATCAATTATATAGGAAATTAAATAAAAAGGAAACAAATTTGTTTGTTCGTTTCGTGATCATACTCATAGAGCTTGAATATCAAAGTTCAACGAACGAGTTAGAATAAACTTAGAAGGATATGTCTTAACAAATAATAATAAAAAACTTAGAAGAATATTGTTTCTTTTGTTAGTTCAATTTGGCCTTTGCACATAGCTCAAGTATATCTTAAAAAGGTATTGTTTCAATTCAAGAGTACTCCTGAAGTAGTTTAAACTTTTGTTCCAATTATTTTGTTGCCTTTGTACAATATTCTAAGTGAAGCTCTTTTTTTTTTTTTTTTTCTTTTTTTTTTTTCAAATAGAACAACTTTGGAACATGTTGATCAATTTGTAAAGTCGATCTTATACTGATAAATATTAGATAACAACTAAATACGAGTATTAGTTTTAATAAATTTTAATAAGTTCAAATACAATAAGATAAGTTCATAATAGGTAGTAAAAACCAATTAGGTGAATAAAGCACAATGTTAATAGATGAAGTCATAAAACTTGAATATAGTGAAGTCATAAAACTTGAATTCCTATGGGAAAAGTACTACTCGTATGCAATAATTATGATGTCTTTTATCTATCAATTTGTCATAATATATTAGCACAGAATTGATTAGAAACCCAAAAATGTAATGAAAACATGTACAATTGAAGTATAGTACGTAGTACATTAACAAACTAGTAAAATCAATCTCCAAATTGTGCATGCATAATTAGTTAAATTACTAATTACTAGATCAAACACAATGTGAATTATCAACTATCACCAAATCTCCTTGAACGTTAATTTAACCTAACAAACTTGTAAAATCAATCTCATCTTTCGGTGCATCCATATAATATTATCCCCTCGTGTTTAAGCAATAATGTTACTTAACGATGATAATCATAATCCAAAAGTGAAGACGACCTTTTCAACGTGGGAAAATTGGGTAATTATTAGTCAAATTATGTAATAATCAAGTAATTATCAAGACCCAAAAAAGTAGACTTTGGCATAAACCTCGGGCCATTGAAAACATAGATCAAGTATAACTGTATAATGATGACACTCATAGTTTACCATACCATAATTTTTTGACAATCATGTGTGAAAAGCTTTTCATTGATTTAGGACAACGGAAAAGACATTCTAAAAAGGTTAAAAATAATATGGTGGAAATGCGTTTCTATAGGAGTAGGTGGTAAACAGGTTATAAAAAGGATCATGCATAACCTGCTACTATCCTTTATTTTTGACAAAATAATTTCTGCCCACAAGAATCCTGTTCATGATTGAAATCGTCTTTTGTGGGATCAAATTAAATTACTAATTACATTTTATTTACTTGCCCCGTTTTTCTACTTAAATTATTGCTTTATTTATTTATTTATTTATCTATTTATTAAAAAAATTCTCTATTTTTCTTTTGAGTTGAATTTCACACTCGCTGACTCTGCTTTTTCTAGCAAATTATCTTAGGCAAATAATTATGATATAATAATTGAAGACAGAGAGTATCAAATATTTTTCTAGCTTAGAATGTGTATTGAATTAATATAAGTATGGAATTCCCTTTTTTTTTTCCTAGATATATAATGAAACTAGAACCTTTTTCCATGAGAGCATACTAGAAGTCTAGAAATAAGGATATGGGCATGACATAGAAATAAGAAGTCTTTTTGGTAGTGACCACATCATTATTTTATTATTTTAGACGTATTTTAATTTTAATGGTTTGCCTATTATTATGAAATAATACTAGATCTCGTAAAAAAAAAAAAAGAACATATATATATATGTGTGTAATTATTATGAAATAATGCTAGATCTCGTAAAAAAAAAAAAGAATATATATATATATATATATATATAGATCTCGTCAAAAAATGAAAGTAATTTTAGTTTTGATGTATATTATACGAAGTAATTGTCATATAACTTGAAATCAAGGAATTAAGTTTTGCTCAAAAATTATGAATGGATAGCCTTTCACTATAAAGACTACTCCCTCTATCCCTTTATTTTTGCCCCATTTGACTATGCGCGATCGACACATGTTAAAACGTTTATGTCTCCATTTTAATACGTGTAAAAATTATAAAAAGTTGATATTAATTAAATTCACAATGAGACGAACTAAAAAAGATCACACATGATTATATTTCATTTAGTAGAATAACGGAAAAAATATCGCCAAAATTTTTCAAGTTTGACCCATATTTTGACAATAGAGCAAAAAAATAGGGGCGGAGGGAGTATAATGTAACAAATTACTTTGAGATGCAAAAATTAACTACAAGTATTAATTTTGAATTGATGCAGTTTAGAAAATTATCCTTATTTATTTGGGCTGGACCATCTCATTGTAATTCATAATGGCAGATCAGATAACAACTTGAAGCTAAAATAAAAAATCCAAAACAATATTTTGGGCCTTTCATAAATAAAAATATGGCCAATTTTGCACAAAGCTATAATGGGCTTGTATAATCTAACAAGTGTACTTCCGCATGTTAAGGTTTCCGCAGCCTATTCATTCGGATAAAGCAAATTTCGTGGCTATTTTACGTTCTAATACGTTTGAAACGTTACTATATCTTCTTCAATCTTCACATATTTTCCGTAATAATATTACACTTTGGTTTTTTACACACACATTAACATCTTTACAGGAGTTAAGTGAGCTAAGGAAAAGAAAGGGGCATCGAAAATGGGCAGAGGAGTGAATTATATGGCAATGACAACTGAACTAGCAGCGGCCAATTTGATCAATTCCGACATCAATAAGCTCAAGATCGCTATCATGACACTCATTCATGATGCTACTAGACTCGGCGGTACTTCAGGATTTGGAACTCATTTTCTTAGATGGCTAGCCTCTCTGGCTGCTATGTGAGTGTTTGTTTTTTCCTCGCAATTCAATTGCCTATTGATTATGTACCATATGATCATTGTCGCGTGTTGGGTCTAATAATATATCTCCAATAGATTGTATTATATAAATGGCAATTGTTCGATGTTGGATAAAACTCTATCCCTTTGTAGTCTCTTTGTTACAAACTACTCAAGCCTAATTAGATCGTTCATACTATAGATTGTAGTCTCTCTTTATTGATATCTACTCAATCCTAATTAGGTCATTCGTTCCATAGTAACGTAATTAATTAACACCATCGACTATAGTTGTAAATGAGAATTATACATTCAAAGTAAATGTTTCTTGTATTTGCTAACGCTGAAACTTAACATTTCCAATGTTAATGCAGTTACTTGTTGATCCTGGATCGCACAAATTGGAAAACCAACATGCTCACATCACTCTTAGTACCATACATATTCCTCAGTCTTCCTTCTGGCCCCTTTTACCTTCTAAGGTTTTTCTTCCTTTCCTTCTCTATTCCTTACATCATATAGCACCATGCCTTCTATAATGGTTTCATTGATCACATAACTAACCCACAAATTACATGTCTTAGTGGTGAGGTTGGGAAATGGATTGCTTTTGTCGCGGTTGTTCTAAGGTTATTCTTCCACCGCCGCTTCCCAGGTATATATCGTCTTCTAAACTCAATACTCCTTGTATCAGCTCATGAAATCATTTACGAAATAACAATTGACACAAATTAAAGGATAGTTGGATGGGAGTTGTAATTCTGTTAATCATAGGGTGTTATTTGCTGCAAGAACACATCAGGGCAACTGGTGGTCTCAGAAATTCGTTCACTCAAAGCCATGGAATTTCCAATACAATTTGGTCCATGGTTATTTTCATGATATAATTGACTCATTAAGTTTCACCGTTTACATTATACACTGTCATAATTATTACCTCTGTTAAATTAGTATAATACAGTAGGTGATTAAAAGATTTTCATCCAATATTTTGTTTCATCAAGTGTTCTTTTTTTCATTAATTTCTTCCAATATTTTTTTTCGGTCCAGTTTTTGTTATTAATGTCATCAACTATTATAAATCCTTATCGAGAAATGATACATCTATAATATTTTTAGGCATCTAAAAGTATAATCCTCTTAACACTCCATAATTATTCAAAATTATTACAAAAGTACTTTATATACTGTACCAAAATTAGCTTAACTATTTTTTTGAAAGAAAATTAGCAAAAATATTTTGATTAAAACCAAAAACTGATTGAAAGCGGGGTAAAACGCTCATATTCTATGGGTGTATAGATGAGTCTATCATGCCATTAAAATAGCAATTCAGAACGAGGAACTTTTACAATCACTGCTTTTTTACCCCAACTTTCGGAAAATTTCTTTGATTCAATGTGTTGCATTCTTGCAAACACCATTAAAGATTTAAAGTACCATTATTTTTATTGTAACTTTCATTTTAAGTAAAGTAAAATGATGGACCACATTTCTAAACAGTAAAACAAATCCCTACATAATATCCCATCAAATGAAAACGCATTATTGCTCATCATAGGAAAATCATTATATGGTTTTGTAAAAACCTTTTAATGGTACATTAACATTACGTTATACCAGTAATTTATTCATTAAAAAAGACTATACAATCGGATCAATATTAACTAAAAATTATCAAGATTAAAAATTTATTCAGGTTGAAAAAACAGAGAAAGGGGGAAATTGCAGCTCAAAAGTGCTTGATAAATAATCATGAATAGCATAGAATAACTATACTATTCTCATTAATTTAATGAGAGTGTAATTACTTTCTCATCATAGCTGCTTTTGCTTCCCTTTTAAAGTTTTAAGCAATCACAAACACCCAGAAAAATTAATCAATTGGAAAAATCATATATAAAAAATCCCTGAAATTGCAAATTAAATTTTTGAAAATTTACTACTTTAAGATTTCATGAAATTAAAATTAAAGAAAAAGAAGGAAGAAATGTATGATTCCTCTCAGACAAATGCCTCGTTTTGTCGTCACAATATTAAGAATGGATCGGACTCGTCATCTGTTTGTATCATCAATGAGAAATCAACAATTTCTTTAGATTTTTACACTAATTTTTTTTCCAAAAACCTAACAAACAAATTAAATAAAAAGGAACTATTGAGAAAATATAGGAAGAAATCAAATAAATAAAACAAAAATAAAATGGATTGGAAATGAAGAGTCAGAAAGGAAGAGAAAGATTGGAAGAGAAATGGAGAAGAAGGAGGAGTAATTATAGGTAAAGTCTAAAAAAAAGAGGTGGGTATTAGGGTTAAGGATTAGGGTTCAAAGTCAACTACTCATCATTTGGTCTAAGTTAGGCCCAGGCCCAGGCCCATCTCCCCACTTGTAGTTTTTTCCATTCAACGCTCGTCTAATGAAATAATGATGTGTAATGAGTAATCACCATGTTGTATAAGGGAAAATTAAATGAACAAGGGTTAGTTTGATTTGCCTCTACGGTTTCATGATTTGAGCATGGGGCTAAATATTTAAAGTATAATAGAATTTGGGTTGAATAGATACCGTATTGATGATTTAATTAAGATAATTTTAAGCTATGGATTGTCATTATTTTTTCTTTTTACTTTGAATAGAAATTCGAGAAATTTTAAAGGAGAATCTAGGTTGGGTACGTCGAACACATTAACTTATGGTAGTGATGCCCTAAATCTTGGCACCAGACACTATTTATCCTTAATCAATTATTTGACTTGTTAGATAATCGATGTTGAATGGAATTGAATTGAAACGACTAAACTTGATTGTTAATGTGATTACTGTAGATCAATGTATCAAATAGTTGAGTCAGCATAATGGTTTGATTTATAATAATTTAAATGACTCAAATCAAATCATATGATCAAAATCAATATATCAATGTATGATTGTTGCATAGACCCGCGTGCACTGTACACTCATGAGTATTTTATTCTCATTTTGATGATTGTTTTTCAACTATCCATCAAATGAAGAGAAAAAACTAACCCTGAGTTAATTAGGTGTACGGTGCACCCGAGTGTATATAACAAATTCTAAAACTATAGAGATATAGGTGCAACTTACCTCTCTCAATGATATTAAAAAGCATCCTATGCATTTTGACTTTTCGAAATAAAATGATAGTGGAATGTGTGAGCAATTGCACTTACATAATCTCACATAGTTTTAGGACAACTTTTAATTCGGAAAATTGTATACCCGGAACTAAGCTTCGAATTCGAATTAGCCCAAAGGGTGAATCGGGTAGGAACAACAAAAATTTGAAAAATTGTATAGAAAAAATACAAGTATATGACCTACAGTCCTTTTTTTTTTTGAAGGCATGTGACCTACAATCCTTTATTAAAGCTATTTGTCACTCATTTTTATGAATTTTATCACTTGCTCAATAGTTGATATAATTTCCCCCTTCTTTTAGAGTAACTAGTGTATAAACCCTTGGAACTTTATTAATGCAGAATAATAGCAACATTTATAATTATTACTGTAAGTACCAAAAAGAAAAAATACTTGACATTCAAAACCGAAAACTTCACAATTGACATAAAAGCATGAAATCAAATATTGACAATGTGCCCTTCTACACCATACCCATATACACAGCCAGTCCAGTGTCCACAAAGCACAGCGGTCAGCTACAATTAAAACCGTTGCAAATTGAAGCCCAAATAACCAATGCCAAAATCAGAAAAATTACTCCTAGGATGATTAGTTTTATTTTGGCATTCTGATACCACATCTTCCGTCTTATCTCTATTGCTCTATTTCTGTACTCAAGAGACTGAAACAACAAAGAATTAAGTACATATATTAGCAATTGCACAATCCTCCTAAGAAAAGGCGGTATGTGTCTCAGATAGATGGAGTATCATATAAATGAATTACCGAATCATGTAGTTTCTCAGCCTTGTCTACAACAGTGTCTATTTGCTCACCTCTCTCAAGAATCTAGAATACAAAGTTATTAAACACACAAGCGTCAAACTCAAAACATTGCAATCGTGCAAATCCATTTCCTTCATTAGTCTCAAACTTATTTACCTTGTTTACATTGTCGGTTATGATAACTTGGACCTCGGAAATTTGAGCTTTCACTTTTGCAACCCTATCAATTTCTTCAGCATGATCAACAACCCATTGCATATTCTGCTTCATTATAGGCCTGCTCATGATACCAGAAAAAATAAGTAACATAAAAGTTGTGTTAACTGAAGGAAACATATTTTTTTCAAGAAACTTTTTCTTCCATATTCCTTTATTTGGTTTGTTTAGAAATTAAAATTCACTTCAAATTATCTTCATGCATACCAAATTTTATATATGGGTTTCGGTATTCTATTTGGCAAGGACTAACATACCCAAATTTCTTACTGAGACTTTTTGCAGTGGCAGCATCCCCTTCACCATGACCATATCTTTTCTTGAAGTCCTGTCTGATTCGGTCAAGAAACTCGAATAGAATCTGTTGTGTTCCCACAGTTTCTCTGGCTACAACACCGTAAACTGCACATTTGGAAAAGAGTATACATAGCAGCAGCATAAGCATATTACTTAGAGCATACTCCTTATATTCTAACAAATAAATGTTGTTTTGGAATGTAATGACTACCATATGGCCCATATCCCTCTTCAACTAGGAAATTAAAAGTGTGGCCATCGTATTTCATGGTGAATTTCTTGTGAGGATCAGCAGGGAGATTCTCGAGCCATTGAGCAGCAATGCTCGGTAAGTTGCTAGGTCGGGTGGTGTGCTCAGCCAATATAACCACCCCTCGAGCTACAAAACTGTATACAATCCATTCTTGTCCCATGTTATTATCCCCAAAGTACCAGAATTTGGAGGTTTCTTAGCTTAATCTGCAAGTGGCAAGTAGTTTTAGAAAGAGCTCTAAAAAATACATACAGTATATACCTTGCTATTAACTTTGGCTTCTTTAATCTGTATATATTTGAAGCTGAAATTTCTTGATTAACTTATAGAAATAATACTTGAAAAAATCAGATGTTGAAATTGTCTTGTTTCAAAATCTATCAGCGTTGGGTTAAGAAGACCTTTTCTTTTCCTAACAAAAAAGGCATAGATTATAATTATTAGTTTAATTGACGAGGTTTGTTCAATATTTTGGTCATCTTGACCAAGGAACATCACATATTGGATTCAAAATATCGTTAGCATTGGGTTCACGCCATCAAGCTATTCACTTTTGAAGACATTATTTTCCATATAAACAATATGCAATATGCAAGCACTTTCGCGGCCTATTTGATAAACAGTTATAAATGGGGTGAAGTAATACATTTACTCATCCTGCAAGGAAAATTATTTCTTTGAAAATTCTGAATTATTTCTTTGAAAATTTCTCAAGAATTTATAATTAATTTCTTTTTATAACCTATGAGTATTAAATTATACAGCGCAGCGACGCAGCCTTTATAATGTTGACTAAGCTTTGATGAACTTTCTTTGCATCTAGAGACAAGTTTGAACTCTAACCCAAAGGAAAATCACAATCTTCATGATTAAAACTCAAGATTCTTTTCAAATATACTCATCCTTTCCTTTTTCACATTATCTACTCTAAAATTGACCTCATTTTTGTTGGAGTTACTTATCCTATATCAATTTTTTTTTTCTTTTTCTTTTTGACAAAGATATATCAAATATCAGTTATTTGATCTTTATCATTGAAGGGGATAGCATTTATCTTTAGGGAGCATAAATAATCTACTTACAGTAATTATCTTATTAAAACTGGTGGTTATACCTACACTAAGTGACAAGGACTTCATAGTGTGAAATACAAAAACTATTAGAGGAACTACTAGCAATATTAGCCTCAAGTGGCCAATAAATGAAGACCTCTTATTGTTGTATGACTCTTATCCTATCTCTTTGTCCAACTCATTTAGCCACAAAATACCCAAACTACCTAGATTAAGCTCTTTTTCTCAGTTTTAATAGCAGAGAATAATAAAGAACCCTTCATGCAACCCTCTAAGGTAAACCCTTGAGGCAATTGCTGGCGAAGCAGATGCTGGTAGAGCGTCTTTCTTCAATGTAGGGTGTGCGTTGAGTTTGATCTCACCACCTTAGATCTCACTTCACGCACATTGCCTCGGTAAGTTGCCTGGATCTCTTATTAGGCAGTCTCACTTAATAATTGTATTGTATCAAAATCAAAATCATTTTCAACAAATATAAACTCGTGTGTCCAACCTAGACGTATAATGTGGCTAGATAATAAGAGTTCTTGTTTCAAATCTTACACGTTGGTAGAAAGCGTATTACATTTGAATTCACACAATATTTGTTGTGATGATTTATTGTCCTGCCTTTAGGTAAAGGAAAGAAAAAAATATCTATTAGAGTTTTTGTAATTTTTGTAAAAATCTTTAATTATCTAGTCAACAGCTAAGTATATTATGCCTAAGATAGAGCCTAGAATCATGCCTATCAATAATGCAGAGGTTAAGAGAATATATATATATATATATATATATATATATATATATATATATATATATATATATATATATATATATATATATATATATATATATATATATGAATATTTAGTTCCTGTCAAAAAAAAAAAATGAATATTTAGTTGTTTACGTACATACAGAAATTTGCTTTAGATCATCTGTTTTAGGAAAACTAGGGACTCTATACTGCTCCATTGGATTAGTACACAATAATTCCTTTGGAAATGCAGAGTACCCTGACATTGAATATACACCATCTCTGTTCCAAATCAGTTGCATTGCTATGTTGCATCTGATTCGTGATAGATGATGACAGACTCATCTTTTACTGATGACATGAATTCGGTTTTGAATATCTAGCAAGTTATTATATGATTGAGGAAAGTTTTTAATAGTGTGTAGTTTGGAGGAGAAGGAAGGGAAGAGAAAGCGAGGTATTTCATCCCTTTCTTTCTTTCCCTCACTCCTCAATACTTCCAATGTTGATATATTTGGAAGAAAAGTGCAAAATATCATTCCCTTTTCTTTCTCTTTCTTCCCTTCTTTTTTTCCCGTATTAGAATTTCTAAGTAACCTGTAAGGGTCTAGTGCAGATATAATTTCGCTATGCTAAAAGATTGGTTTTTACCAACTGCTTCATAGTATAATACAGCATATTTAGAACTTTCTGTCTCATCAAACCGGCAGAAAATGTAATCACTTATGCAAACAATGTGTAATGAATATTAAGCTACTGTTAATTGAACTCATAAGAGATTAAAATGTGATGAGATCTAAAGAAAGACTTACCTTGAAGATGAGGAACTGGATTGTCAATCAGTGTTTAATGATTTCGCGTGAAATTGACTACAGTATGGCAAAATTCTGCCTTGATCCGAACATATACACCAAATATCTGAGGACTGAGGGTATGAACATAGCTCCAATAAAGTTCCATGATGCTAAACTCCCGTATCATTTGACTTACATAATGAGGTAAAGGAACCATTCAAAAACCTCATTTGATCCTACTCTGAAGTTCAGCTTTCTGGTGGTAGTAGGACTCTGCTCTTCTTCACTATTAAGCGACTTCTAACAGTTGGCAAGCCAAACAGCTTCATTGGAAAATTACTTGTCCCATCATATGATATTTTCTCCAAAGAGGTAGTTACAACTGTAACAATTTAGGGGGCGTTTGGTATAGATATTGGAAATTGAGTGGAAAGGAAACAAATAAGAGGGAGGAATTTTCCATTTGTTTGGTTTAACCATGGAAAGGAATCACTTATTCATAGCTCCTTTTCTTCTTGTTTGAGGAAGGTAAGGGTAATTGTTACCTTAGGTTTTAGAGAGGTAACATATAATAGTGGAAACAATTACCTCTAGGTAACGGTAATTGCTACCTAAACCTTCTAACCAAACACTTTGTATTGGTAATGGTTGAATTGAATCCATTCCCACCCCAAAAGATACTCGAACCAAACATGCTCTTGGTAGGCATTGCAAGCTTGAGGAGAAATTTGAACAAGAAGAATAACACTCCATCATCCAAAGGAGCCAGTGGTAGTCTTGCATAGTCTTCCTCACTATCACGACAAAGGCCCAGAACGATGTGAACATGGAAGTCTGGTATGAATTGTATTATCGGCTTAAGCAACATCACATTTTGTATTTTTGTGTATGAAATTAATGATGATTGCACTCAATTTGTTACGGAGTACAATCTTAAAGGCGATTTTGATAATCCCAAGGAGAAAACAGCCCGTGAGTCTGTGATTGTGCTCAAGAGCCAACTTCTTAGACTTGCGAATTTTCATTTCTGAAAAAGCTCATGTCCTGCATCAAATCAAAAATCTGGATCAGCCACAACTGCTTGCACCATTGGTAAATAGGAACACACCTCTTGAACCTATTCTGCTTAAACCAACAAAAACATGTTGCAATCAAGTCCCAAAAATTGAAACCAAATATGCAGCTCAAGTTTCCAACCTAAGCAACTGTACCTTAGGTTGAGCCAGGAAAGTGAGAACCACGGGAAGGAGGGGGGGGGGGGAGGGTGGGTGGGGGGATTCAACTCAAGCATTAGGATTTTGTACAGAACAGCCCATGGAAGATAGTTCCATCCTCAGATCCTTGAGATGGATGTAAAATGTATCACATATACATTCTCACAATGTTGTTACAGATTAAGCTCATCACAAATGCTAAACCAGTTTCTGAAAGCTTAAATAGCTGGTTGTTTAAAACATGAATTTCATGTTTTACAGGTTTGCAGATGTTATCTAAGTTAGCTAGCTAATGTTATCTAAGTTAGCCAATATAAGATCTCTATGATTATGAGGTACCACTAGTACCTAAGACCTATGTTTCAAGCACATTAGCACATCGACGTTATAGTCTTTGCAGCCCTACATGAATGATATGAAAAAAAAAAAAAAAAAAAGAAAATCCGTAAAGACTTCCACATCTTATAGAATGGCTAGAGGCCTTAGCAAGAGAACAAAAGTCCAGGATTAAATTTGTTGTCGATAGCATTCAAATGATGCAGGCCATTCAGGATACATATGTAAGATGATGGTTTTACCTCCAGTTTGCCTGATGAACCATGATAATCTCTAATAAAAAGGACTATACTGGACGGACTTGAATTTTCTTTACCTAAACTCCTTAAACTTGGTTGAAATGCTCTCTCTCCCCTGTAATTAGCAATTTAGCATTCCATTTTGAGCAGCCTTTTCTTCCATCAGTTGTGCGTGCTATGCTTATCAACAACAGAAAAGAAGTGTCCCTGCTGCTTGACAGCATAATAGCTAAATGTCAAACTGAACTTCTAACACCAAAGCATCTTTGAAGCTCATAAGTCTTGAGATAGGTCATGTCCTCAGTTCATACACCGAATACTTTGCTACTCCTTTAGATTTACAATGAAGTAATCACCAAAAGTCTTGACAAGAGCACAAGCCATCCTTGAAATGGTGAAATCTTAATGAGTCTCTAACAATGATCTGTATGCCAACAACCTTGGCTGTGAATTTTATGAAATTATGACAATCACCACATATTCTTAAATTTTTGAATACCCGTATTGAAGATTCCCCATTTAAATTCAGCAACCCAAAAGCAACTGCTAGCTTCTCACTATGGTTGCATAAGACTTCCTCTTTCTCTTCTTGATCCAGATCTTGCAGAACAAAATCAGTATTTGGCAAATACCCAGCCAGTCTGACCTTATATCTGATATTACTTAAGAATTGGGATATTTTATCACTCTGTTCATTGCTATTATCACCAACAACAAATGAGTAAACTTTGTTCTTGACCTGAATCCAACTACAACCTGGTGGTTTTGATATTCCCTTTTCTTCCATTATTCTCCGATATTTAGAAGCTTCACCCCACAGTTTGCCAGCAACAAAGATGTTCGACAATAAAACATAATTTCCAGGATTGTCAGGTTCAATCTCAAACAGATGCTTGGCAGCGATTCGTGCCAAGTCAACATTCTTATACACTCTACAACCAGCAAGTAAAGCTCCCCAGGCAGCAGCAGTTGGTTTCATGGGCATTTTCTGAATGTATTCATAAGCTTCTTTTAGGCGACCAGCACGACTGAGTACATCAACTAAACTTGAATAATGATCTGCGTCGGGCTCAATAAAGTGATCCCTCATTGAATGAAAAGCTTGAAGACCCTCATCAACAAGTCTTGAGTGACTGCAACCAGAGAGAACCCCTGTAAAAGTTACAGAATTTGGCTTAACACCATAAGTTATCATATTTTTGAAGAGCAACAAAGCTTTTTCTCCTCTCCCATGCATAGCATTTGCAATAATCATGGTATTCCAAGCTATAGCATCCTTTCTAGGCATCATATTAAATATCTGACTGGAAATCTCAAGCTCACCGCATTTAGCATACATATAAATCAAGGCTGTTGTGGTTGTCATGTCAGCGAAAATCTTATTCCTAAAAATGTATGCGTGGATCTCCTTTCCCTTCCTTAACCTCTCTAAGTTTGAGCATGCAGGTAAAGCACTAGTTAAGGTAATATGATTGGGTTTGAGCCCTTGAACCTGCATTTGGACAAGCAATTCAAGAGCTTGGGTGTTCTCACCATTTTGAACACACCCACCAATCACAGTATTCCATGAATCATAATTTAAGGTGACCCTATGTGTTCTCATTTCACCAAATAGGCTGAGAGCCCTCTCTGATTCTCCATTTAAGAAATACGCCGATAATATAACATTCCAAGAGACGATATCACGCACAAGCATACTATCAAACACCAACTGAGCCTCTTTCAAACATGAGCAGATTGCATACAAGTCAACAAGCGCACTAGTAACAAATGTATTCTCTCCAAACCCATCTTTCACAACATACCCATGAATTTGTCTACCTAAATCCAAGCACTTCAATTTAGAACACGCAGGCAGAATTGAAGACACCGTCACTTCATTCGGTCTCAATCCACACAATCCCATCTCACGAAACACAATCAAAGCATCCCCAAGAAACCCACAACTGACATAGCTCGACAACAACGATGTCCAAGAAATAACATCCCTGACAGGCAACTCATTGAAAACAGACAGAGCACCCTCACAACACTTACATTTCCCATACATATTAATCAACGCATTTCCCACAGTAAGATCAGACAAAAACCGAAACCTAACAGCATCATCATGAATCTCTTTCGCTTTCGAAAGATCAGCAGATGCAGCACAGGCCTTGACAGCTGATAGAAGCAGTATCCTATCAGGCAGCTGAATGTTCTGCTTCCTGAATATAGAATACAACTTAACTGCTTCATTTGAATAACCTTGCTTTGTGTAACCAGAAATCAAGTTTGCCCAAGAATGTAGATTTGGTTCAGGAATTTTGTCGAACAGTTGGCGTGCACGACTTAAATCGCCCGAATTTAGAATGGGTTTAAGCAGTTTTTCTCCTAGATGAGGTGAGATATTACTGGGTATTTTGAATCGCATAGTTTCTAGATAGTGGAGCGGTAGATTACCAGAATAGCAGATGAATTTGGCGGAAAAAAAAATCATCGACTATAATGCTTGAGCTCTTAACTGAAATAACGACTTTCACTTTTTAGTTATTTGCAACGCCTCTCGTATGATATAAATTTCCCACGCGCCACGGCGGAGCCATCTATAGACTACGGCTGGTGGACTACTAGGTATCGAATGCAATAAAGATGATAGTGGGTTGTGTGGAACCATGTCTCATGCTGAACCTAAGTGCGTGTTTTGGAGTTAGTTAGGCCTGCCCTATGACTGTGTTGTGTTGAAATTTTCAAAAGGTCGGCCTAAGCCCACGTGTCATTGTGTCGTGCTTACATGCCTAAACTAAGTTCAATGATTTTAGTGTTCTTTAACTTTTTTTTTGTCATGCTGAATCGTGTTGTGTCTTGTCGTGCTTCTCTAAAATAAATGCGGTCCACGGTCTGACACTACACATAGTAGTTAGCTTGTTGTTTTGTGCCTAAATCATGTCCATGTTGTGTCTTGCTTCTTTCGTGTTGGGTCGTGTTGTGCCTCAAATTGGCCTATTTTAGTGCGATCCTTAAGTGCACCCTCTTATATTGATGTACATCTAGCTACTTGATTGTTTGTTGTCACTTTTGATGGGTGAAACCACGAAATCAATGTTCTTGCTTGGCTAAATTGATCAATTTATGCGACAAATCCAAAGCATGGTTCCTACAGGCGTATGCACCGTGCTTGGTGTATACGTTTCTTAAAAAAAAAGTGGAATGAACATATTATAGAAATGTAATGAACATATAGTTACAGTGAAAAGAACATACTATTAAAATATAATGAACATATACCTAGAGTGAAAAGTACATACTATAAAAATGTAATGAACATATACCTAGAGTGAAAAAAACATACTATTAAAATGTAATGAACATATACCTAGAGTGAAAAAGAACATACTGTTAAATAATGTTCTTTATCTCCATGTTCTTTGATTATCAGTATAATGTATTTTTATTTGTGACATAATATTCATTGTTTATTTTGAAATGTTCTTTGAATTTTGTCTTTACATTATGGTGGTTGAATAAAAATAATGTTCATCATATTATATTATCATGTTCTTTATTAATTTTACGAATGTTCTTTAGATATATAAAAAGAACATAAAGTTGTTTGTTCTTTATAAAACAGCTATATGTTCTTTGCAAAACAGCTATATATTAATTACAAAACAACTATATGTTCATTCCGCCTTTTAAGAAAAAAATTTAAAAATCCGTATGCACCAAGCATGGTACAATACGCCTGCACGAAAAAATTTCAGACAAATCACATATTCACATGCATGCCTTGTCTCTTTTCACTCTCCTTGTCCTTCTATCCTCAATCTTATACGAAGTATGTTATTTATTGTATGAATTGAGTTTGATGCTCCATGGTTTTGATGACAACAATCTAAGTAGTTAAGTACTTTGGTATTTAATTAAATCTTGAGTAGGTCAAAATTTTATTTTCAGTTAAGCTCTGAAAAGTTCATTCGTAAAAATCTCTCTTGCACTTTATAAGTTTTATCTAAGTTTTGCATTAATTTTTGCTCTCCATCTAAAATCACCCCTCCTCCTGTAGTAGTCTAACCAAATAATATTGAAAATTTCTACCACGCAAACCCTTTAATTCTCTATGTAAAATACATATTTTCATTAGGAATTTGGTCATCTATTTTGAAATAAAGAGATCAACATCAACAAGCCCATGGAATCAAAAGGTCTACTACGCCTAATTGCCTTTGCATCTCCTTTGACCAAATGGGTACCCTATAAAGTAGAATATATTATAAATACCCTTTATTGGAAATAATACAAGGAAAAAAATGGAAAAATAAAGAAATATAAAGTAAAAATTAATCTGGAAATTTAGTAGGGTGAGTCGCGGATTACTTTCAGCTCTCCTCAAGACAATTTACGCCCTCTAATACAAATTGCAGGGAGTAAACGGTGCGTCATCCCTAGGATAAAACCCCAACTTATACACTCCCTAATCTGCGTATTAAGAAGTAGAAGCTTATATAATCAAAATACCCGACTTTTGTATATTTTCCAAATATGTGAGATATTGTTTTAAAAATTGTGTATATCAAATTGATGTTCAAAAGCAACATAATTATAAAACCAAGAATTATGTACATTGCACTGGTAGAGTATTACTTCATGTAACTCCATGCAAGATGCATATTGTAACCCCAATCAATCATTTAAATTGGCATTAAAATATTACCATGAAATCTCATCCTCAGTCATTGTAATAAAGCCAAATCATAATAGCAAAGTAACTTTGAGTCTTTGACGTTAGTAATAGCAACGTTTTTAATTTTTGAAAATTAAACAATTATAATTTAGTAATAAATATTATGAATTACAAACCTCATAATGATGATATTAAAATATGATGAGTAAATATATGCAAATAATACGTTAACTGAAAATGAAAGGATTTTAATTTATATTTTAAATTTTAAAAATTAAATACATTAAATTGAAAATCAATTAAAATATGCTTATTTTTAGGTAAAATATCCAACAATCTCCCACTAATTTTAACAAAAAATAACTTACTTGGATAACCGTCACAAGATACCATGCATAGTAGAGGTGGCTCCGCCTTGAAACCTCTAATTAGTGTTTCAGTTTACCATGTACTAGAGTCAAAGTGGCATGGCCTTAAAACTTCAACTATTTGATGGCACGTTGGAAACTTCACACACATGATACCTTAGGTATTTAAAAGCTTATTAGGTTTGCACGTTTTTTGCCATGTGCACCATCCCGGTATTCATGAGTGTCTTTAGAGAATATGCCCTCATTCTCATAGAAGCGGCCTCACTTCCACACTCATATAAATAATGTTCTTGTGGTCAAGCATTCTTCCCACATAGGGTATCGGGTCATTAAGAGCAAAGCCTTACAAATTATATACATAAAATTTAAATATTTATTACTTTGCTCAACCTTATCAACACCACAAGTATACATGCCGCACCCTAGGGAGGGACAAAATAACAATATATATATACGAATGAGTGGCATGTCTCCAAGTCATCATATAATTCGTTTTACCCTACATAGGGTATCCTCATATATGACTTATTTCATTTTTGGGCATTAGTCCCATCCCCCTCGATGCTTTCCAAATCTTGTCTCTAGCTAGAGCTTTAATGAATTGATCGGCAAGATTGTCATTCGATCGTACATGTTAACATTTATGGCGCTATTGGACAAATGTCCTCTCACAATCCCATGCATCCTTCTTATGGATCTAGATTTCCCATTATAGTACATACTATGTACTCTTCCAATAGCCGTTGTGTTATCACAATGGTGCAAAACTAGTGGTACTGGTCTATCCCACATAGGGATATCATGTAAGAAATTTCGTAACCAATTGGCTTCATCACTAGCATTTGACAAAGCTATCAATTCGACCTCCATTGTAGAGTGGGATATAATTGTTTCACTACTACATTTTTGATCTATTGCAACCCCCAAATCTGTTGCATTAGGCGTCAAAATCCGTGGCATTAGGCCTAATGCAACGGCCATGTACCGTGGCATCTGCTGGCGTTGCAGTAGGACTAATGCAACGGCATATGACACCTAATGCCACGGCACCACTGATTCGTGGCAATAGACCAATACTTGTTGCAACGGCATAACTATCCGTGGCAATAGAGTACTGACTAATAATTATGATGAAATTGAACCTATTACAAAGGATGAAGCTAATTAATACAATGATAGGAGTACGTATCTACTGCAACGGATTGATCATTGGTTGTTCTTTTTTTTTTGTTGGGATGGAATGGTAATTTAAATATGTATTATTAGTCAGTACAAATCTAAATATACTAACAGAAACAAATTAAAGTATCATTTATATATAATAATTATAATGTGAAATACGTACATTACAAAATATTACTTGCTTGTTTTTGGTATGACATACCCTACTAATAATAAATAAAAGTTAGATAATTAATTTAATCGTCCAAAATACAAATTGTCAACATATATATAAGCCGAAATTTCCAAATCTTCACAAAGCCGGAACTTGAATAAGAGTCGCCAACATATATGCACCATTTGTTAGATGACTAGTCACTATACTTCCGCTCCATTTAACTCCCCATGCACCTACACGTAAAATTGAAAAAAATAATAGAAATATAATTGAACTAAATTATAAATTATAATCGACCAAGGCCACAATCAACATGAGAAAAGTTCAAAACGCACAGATGATAGTTGTTTAAAAGATGGCAGCAAAGAAGTTTATTTTTTTACACAGAAAGGAAAATATTATTAATTTATAGTGGCAGTAGCCACATTAATTACCAAAAGATAAACATTCCAAGTCTGAAAAGCAAAATAGCACCCCAAAATATAACAAAGTACTAGCTAAATAACCAACCAGAAATAGAACTAAGTAGTAGTCAAAAGTATTCTGGGTGATTGTGACTGAAAAAAGACATGATCAAAAGCACCAGATTCATGCACTGTAGGTGAACTAAGTTGCCACCATTATTTCTGGGATGTCATTAGCAGTCAAGGTGTTCTCAAAGACCGAGGCCCCTAAGCAATTTAGCACTGAGGTTCGTAATTAGGCAACATTTTTTTCTCAGATCACTCAGTATATTAAAATTTGTTGTGTAACTCTATATATAGGACTGGATTACTTGCATTATGGTTGCAGCCAGCCTATAGTTCATAGAGATGTGAAACCTACTAACATTCTTCTAAACAAAGAATTTCGAGCAAAGGTAGCTGATTTTGGGTGGTAGAAAGGGGGTTTTGGTGCTTCTTACTTGGTTGGACAGGTATTTGTAGGGAGTTTCAGTTTGGAAGATACTTTTGGGATTAGCATGAGACTAATTAACTTTATGTAATTATGAATTATGTTTCTTACTCTGAGAAATGATGTAGTGTGTAGGCTGGGCTGCATTTTCCTGTTAGTCATATACTTAAAACTGCAGTTCTGCTGCTTTCCACCAATATCTGTAGGACTGCAGGTCAAGTCTCTCTTTTTTACCTAGTGGAAATGAATTATATTGCTGAATTGGTATCTTGATGCTGAAATCAATTGTGAAATTTATGTGACCAACTTGAGCTTGTGGCTTAAAGCTTGGGTGGCTTTGTATATATGATGAGTGGGTTTTGTAGTTCATGTCTACTAGT